CCAGAAAGTTTCATGCGAATGTACCTCCTGCACCAGTTTCTCATTTGCACGAGACATATTTTCACGGCTGCAGCCCTGACTCCCCCCAGCTTGGAGGAGTGCCTGGGAAGGGAAGCATCAGGGTGGATCACACAATGGGAGAGCAGAGCTCCATGGCAGCACACGTGGAAAGGCGAGGGAGAGGGAATGATGCCAAAGACTATCCAGCTCTCAGAGCAAATCCTTCATTTCTTCAGTTCCATCCCCATCAGTGTGCTGTAAATAGGTTTTGGACCTGAGCTGGTGACTTTTCCCATCAGTTTGGCAAAAATGATTTAAATATTATTGACCTGGCCTCCCATCTCCAGCTCAGCTTAACAGATAAGCAGAAGAGCTGGGATTTTGAAAGCTTTCTTGAGGGTAAAGTCTATACTAGCACAGTTTCACTGCTGTTTAGTCTACGTTAATGTTATTTAAATTTTGCCCAGGGTCTTTAATAAGAGTTCAAATGTAACTGTTGGGGGTTTTAAATATGTGTTTTGAAAATTGGAGCCATCCAAAATATGCAGGGCAGAACATCTCCTGTGTTTATTTTTATTCCTAATCTAGGCTCTGCATCAGCTGTCTTCATGGTTTGGTAGCGTGAAGTACTGGAAGCCTACCAATACATATATATATATATAAAACTTCCTTTTTGGTTCCCATTGGTGGAAGGACAGATTCTTTTTCCCTTTGAGTCTCTAAAAAGTCACTGTGCAGGCTAATTCAAGACAAATGTGAACACATGATATCTGAACAACGGATGTAAGGCTCCGTTTGAAGGAAGTATGCTGAAAAGGCCTGCGTCCTTAGGGGTCTTCTGTAGGAGAGAGTGCTGGCAACCACTTGGAGAAAGGATTCTGTTACTGCTGTGGTATTTTGGGCACCAGACTGCAATGTTTAGAATGTGCTCTGCTCAGACGGTTATGGGAGCAGCCCCTCCACCATGGCAACTAACATATGGCTTTGCGTTGTTGATAATGATCACACGACGGAGAGACACAGAAGAAAAAGGAGGATGGCCTTGCATAGACAGACCATGACGGTCTGTGACTGCATTCTCTAAGGCTGTAACCAGAAGCTATAAATTGCTATATTGAATATTTTCACTTCTCATCTAATTGAAAAAGCAGTGTATACAGTTTTGCAGATGGCCCATTTATTTTGCTGAACTACCCAGAGCTCAAGGATGCTGTTTAGAACTGGGTACAAGCACAACAAAAGGCCAGGGGAAATGGGATCTTGATATAATTAATTGTCAGGTATGAATGAGTATCTTTTTTTGCAAGGCCACAGCACTACATTTCCAAATTAATGAATCTTTTGCCACAAAGGCAGAAAAAATATAAGGCACACTTGCTCACAAACTGCCAGGAAGTTTGCAGAATTTTACAGCAGCACAGTCCTTAGCCTGCTGTTTGGACATCCCTCCTCAGCACTGGACGCTGAGTGGGTTATGGGAGGAAGGATAGGCTATGTGCAGGTGAAGCCCATGGAGGACTTTTCAGCCATACTACACATGAAGGCATCATGTGCCCTCACAAGAGGAGAGGGACCAGGGGAATTCCAGCACGCAGTTCTCTCTGAACCTATTCCCATCCACCCCATATGCCTTGGGAAGCAAGAAACCCTCTGAAACTAAAGCCATCCTGCTCCAACCTCTCCTTTACATACCCAAATATACCAGCTCTGCTGCAGCAGGTGGCAATTTGTGTCAATGCCAGATGACTGCAACAAGGTCCAGTATAGTCTGGGACATCTGAATGCACTGCACTAAGGGAGACCACGAACACCATCACCAGAGCACAGCAACAGACTGAAAGGGGAGTATTGTTGTCTTCATTTTACACAGAGTGGCCTGAGATACAGGAACATGTTGGGTTTTCTGTCTTTGGTTAAAGACTGGTAATTATACACAGAGATAGCTGCTGATCTCAAAATTCTAGGAAGTATTCCATTGTGCCAAAGGAATAAAGAATTTTTAAAGAGTTACACCAGAAGTGTATTATGATTTTTTTTCTCTCTTACTTTCTGTTCTTTTACTTGGAAGACTTCTGTTACCCACCTAGAGATGACAGAGGTAGCCAAGGGCACATGAAGGACCATAGACTATGAAGAGTGAGCAGCCTCATGATGCACACTAACAATCCTTGCTCAAAGATTCATTATCCAAATTTCTCTCATAATGACAAACAGACCTGAAAAGACAATTCACTAACCAAAGAAGGGCAAAACCAATAATAAATTGAATTCCAGTATGAATTACCTTATGCAATATAGATATAGCTTACAGGTACTATTGTACATTTTGGATAGCTTACCTGAATTTCATCTCCAAACCTTTTTGATAGCGGCTAATCTTTGTTATTAAAATCACTGGATTGCTTATTTAGGTGTGATGCATACAATAAGAAAAAGAAAAGTACTAGAAAAATACTAAAGTACTAGAAGAGAAGACAGTAAAGTTCTTACTGTAATTGCAAATCCCTCCAGTGACTCATATTTTATAAACTTGAAAATTACTTTTATTTATGTATAATAGAAATTAATTTATACATCGAAGCCAATAAGCATACCCATAGGATTCTTAGATGATGTGGTGTTTATTCCCCTTGGGTACTGCCAGCCAGGTGAGCGATGGGGATGGGACTGTGGGTCCAGGACCACCTCTTGCTCTGCAGCAGATGTGGGTGCTCCTTAGAACCACTGTAGGGACAGAAAAACAGGAGACAGGTCATCTGTTGTGCTGGCCAATGCTAGCTCCAACAGGTGTGTGTTTAAATAAATATTTGATACTGTCCAGGAAATACAGAAGGATTTGTGTATATGTTTCTGTGATAAACTAGTCCTCTACACACAGCTGTAGGAATACAGCAGGGCACAGACTTTTGTTAGTTCTCAGCCCCTGGGCCTGGCTGCAACCAGGCTTTGGCTAAAGAGACAGCTTTTGAGAAGAGGTTTATTATCACTGAGGTCACAGGAAAGTCACCAATGTGTGTGGGACAGAAAGGGTGGGGGGAGTATAGCAGAGGCTGTGGGATGGCAGGGACAGCACAGGCCTGGTGGAAGGGCTGTGATCACTAAAAAAGCAGCACCCGTGCCTGGTGTAGGACTTAGACCCAGGTTTTTGATGTCCCTGCTGAACATGTACAGCACTGGAGGACTGAGCAACCACAGGCAGAGCCAGGAGTACAGTGCCTTGGAATCTCCACACCAAAAGAAACACCCTCCCTGCCAGACTGGCACAGAGCCCTAGCTCAGTACACAGTCCCCTGTAGTGTCCCACAGCCCCTGCACCAAACAGCAGACGAGGTGGGTGACACAGGGCTTCCACCACTCACAGGGCTGCCTGTCCCAGTCTGGCTGACAGAGGACAGAAGCTCATCTTTATCAAGGGGAGAGGGTTTTCCCCCAAATAGTTGTCCTTTCAGGACCCACTCTCAAAAGTGACCTACAAACAATTCTTCCAAAAATAAACCTAGGAAATGAGGTAACTCTGCCAAGCACTAAACCCCATGAATTCATTGCACCTAACACCAATCACTGTGTTCCTGTTAACACCCCTGCTGCTGTCCTTTCCTCTTGGACAGGCTGGGTAGCTGCAGACACAGCCTGGATGATGGCAGTCACATGCAGGGAGCTTCATGTCCTGCTTCTTGTCAGGCCTGTGGTAGCAACTAGCAACGCAAGGCTGAGTTGAATGGAAGATTCTGCTTCTTCCTACAAGCCTCCTGTCCTTGGGCAGCGGTGCCTATTGCCTCCCCCATTAGCAGTCCTAAGAAAGCCTTGGCAAGAAACCTTCTCTGCTCCTGTCACTCTCCCGGCTCTTTGCCCCAGCGGGGTCTCGGGAGATGGGGACCAGGTGATCCAGCCGGGTCTGGTGGCACCACATCCTGGCAGGTCGCGCTGCATCCTCCAGCAGCGGGAACCGGGATGGGGGGACAGCCGTGACCTGCCGTCGTGCCGGCGATGCCACGGCACCGGGATGCTTCTTGGCTGCGCTCAGAATTCCTGACACACCGGCAGCTGCGGAAACCGCGCGTTTTCTGCGGGAAAACAGCCAGACCCGTGGGGGGCGCGGGGGGCACCCAGCACCGCACCAACCGGGGCCGCTCCGAGCGCCGGCGGCGCGTCTGTGCCCGCGGCCACCGGGTGTCACCGCCCCGGTGAGCGCGGCGGGGCCGGGCCTGGCCGGGCCACCCCCCCGGGCCGGCAGCGGCGGCGAGAAGGGACCGGCGGCGGAGGGGCCGCGGCGGCGAAAGGATGGTGAGCGGGGCCGGGGGGCGGCGGGCGAGCCGGGGCGGACAGACAGCGCCTGCCGGGGACAGACAGACAGACGGGCAGCTCCTGTTGGGGACCGACAGCTCCAGCCGGGGATAGACAAGACAGTCAGACAGGCAGGTGATGCCGGGAACGGAAAGAAAGACAGACAGGCAGCTCCTGCCGCGGACGGACGGATAGACAGACAGACAATCTCTGTCCGTCGCTGCCGCTGGCTGAGCGCCTGCTGCCGCGGGCAGGATGCTGCTGACCAGCGGACTTCGGGGGATTCGGAGCACATCACCCTTGGGCTGCTGCTGCGCTGACAGGGCTAGTCGGGGATATTTCAGCATTTCCCCGCCATCTCCAGCGCGGGGTCTGTCTCTGCTAACGCAGAACAGCAGCCACGGCACAGCCACCTCGCCCGCGGGTGCGACAGCCGTGCGTGGCTGCTGTGCCCTCCTCGGGCTGCATCCACGGCACGGCGCATCACTGACCTGCGGGAGCCCCCGGGTCCTTCTCCGCAAAACAGGATGGACTGTTGGCTCTGTTTTGATGAATGCTTGTGAAATGCTGAGGTAAAGGCTGTGCTGTTTACTGAAAGATATAATGGCTGTCAAACATTATTACTTTATGTTTTGCAATATAAAATTAGCGGTGGAATCTGGAATAGGTGGCACATTGGGGAAGCATTTAAAAAATCAGTACGTATTTTCCATTTCATGTGTTTGTGTTTACAGTATGGATTTATAAACACATGCCTGAAGTCTTTGGTGGTTGAAAAGTATGGTGAAGAAACATGGGAAAAATTAAGGTAATGTGTTCCCAATAATTGTAGTGCATTGAAAGAAAACGCTCAGGAATTCAGCACCAGGGGATTATAATTTCCCATATGTAAATGGCAGCTGATGTGTATCTCAACTAATTATTAGAAGTAACTAGCAGGGCAAAAGCAAGAGTTTCTTGCCTTGTAACACTTCATACTCTGATACTAATTTGTCCCAATTAATTTGTCATATCAGATAATTAAAGATGACATTTAGTCTTATAGACAATTTTACAATAGACTCACTAGCTCACTGTGACAATATTGAGAAGTAATTACACTGAAAAGATGCCATCCTTGATATAAAGCCAGTTTAATTCCAGTACTTTCAGAAACACAGCAAAATCATAGAATCACAGATCATCTTGTTCCAACCTCCCCACCATGGACAGGGAAACTTCTACTAGATCAGGTTGCTCAAAGCCCATCCAACCTGTCCATCTCTGGTTTTGTCTTTACTTTATGAACTATATGGTATTTTCCAATATATAAAGATATATAAATGATACTTAAATACATACATATATTGATCTTTGAAGCTAATATAAAAAAACCAAACCACCAGCCACTTTGTGGAGCTGAACAGAAGACGAACTAAGATTCTGGTTGCTCTAGTACCCCACAGTAAGATGCCTGAATCCTTAAAAGAGTTTACTGCTATACCATAACATAAAATAGCAGAAATGGAGGGGTGAACACAACTATTCAACCATTTTAAAGCAATTTAATGAATTTAAAGCAATTTAATTTTAATCTTACATCATTATGGGAAGCAGTGTGTTCCACTGTAACGCTTGAAGGAGATTAAGGAGTGTTCACAGTAAACAGTGCTTAACAAATGCCAGTTGGGTCACCCAAGCATGTTATATTTACAGCACTGCTGAGACAGGACTATTGTCTTCTCTGTTGCAGACTGCAGGCTGGAGTCCAGGATTCTTTCTTGACTTTTGAGGTTTACAAAGATGAGATCACAATGCAGCTTGTCGACAAAGCCTGCAAAGTATTAGGTATGTGTCACCATGCTGCAAAAACAAACTGTCCTGGCTCAGGCCTGACACTGCAGCCCAGGTTTAGTCTCCTGTGCCCTTTGGAATGCCCTCCCTGTGTTGCAAATATTCTGCCTTCGCTCTTAGTCCACCTGACAGCATTTCCAAGCCTTTCTTATTAGGTATCTTTATTTTGCCAGGTGTTCCTGCTGACTTGGTTCTGAGAGAGTTTGGAAAGTATTTCTTTGAATTCTGTAAGCGCTCAGGCTATGACCACATGCTGAGGACACTGGGTGGAAATCTCTATGAGTTCATAGAGAACCTGGATGCATTGCACAGCTACCTGTCCCTTTCTTACCAGGCAAGTCCAAGTAGTGATTGCTGAGCAGGTATGGGTGGACTCTGCCAGAGTTCATAGCACAAGGAACAGCATCTCATAGTGAATAATGAAAAAACACGCTATAACATGTTCTCCTGTGTTCTGAAACAGATTGCTCCAAAATGTTAGGGCAATTTTTGAGTAGTCCTCAAGGTTAGGTATTATTTAGTACATTGGCTCTAATGCATAGCAGATTTTCTTTCACAGGTGGGAATATTTAATTCTCTGTTTTTCAGCTTATTCATATTATTAAGACACGAATACTTTTGTACAAGTGGAATGCATCAGTACTCTTTATCAGAAAAAGATGCTGATGCTTTGGTTTTGTTTGTTTTTTCCTCAGGAAATGAATGCACCATCTTTTAGAGTAGAAAAGAATGAAGATGGGTCAATGCATTTACACTACTATTCAGACAGAAGAGGTCTGTGCCATATTGTACCAGGTAACGAGACAAAATTCAGCTTACAGGTCAGCTGGTAATGCAGTTTATGTACAGAGTAATCATATATTTGCAGATACACTTTGCTCAGATTTCAGAGTCTTTTTTCAGCTAAGGACAGGCCATGGAATTGAAGTCTGGTAGAGTTTAGTCTCCAGACACCTAAATTCAGTATTTCCCTACTGCCTGATCACTCCTAGCTCCCAGTAGCTTCCATCAAAATTTATGACATGACAACCCAGGCCATAAGTGTCCATTCCTGCTACAGAATTCCCCTCCTGGAAGAAAAATTAAAGTTCATGGTGTTTATTGTGTCTAACTGTTTGTTAGTTCTCAGGGACTCATGCTCCATAAATTACAATGAAGAAATTACAGAAATTACAGTTGATTTGAAGACATTCATCCACCCTGTAGGATGTGCAATCTGTAAAACCTGCTCAAAACTCAATCTTCCACCAGCATTACAGGAATCTCCACAGTTGTACTTGTGCAAGGGTTAAACAGCTACAGATCTGTAAGAGGTGATCGTATTCCTTTCTTTCACAGATGATGCTGAATTTAAAAGTTTATCAAAACTTCCCCCTTTATCAAAACTTGTTTCCTATTGAAAGCACAGAACTATTTGGAATTTCAAACAGAGCTTTTGATGTCATTGTCCAGTATTTTGCCTAATGCCTAGGCAGAAATGAGAGAACTGATTGTACATCTGCATGAAAGACATTTCCTTCCTTTCAAAATAAAATATTCTGCAATGACTGAAATAGACTGTATAGAAAAATCTCTCTAGACTCCTTGCATTTTTTGGGTTAATGGGAATTCGTGTTATTGCTCTATGACTACTTGAACACATTCTTCAGATATCCTACTGAGCTGCTTCTAGTGAAAATAAGCATTTGTCCTCAGACAAGGCAAAAAATACAGTAACTTTAAAGCTTACCTCCTGTGTGCATATCCTCATCATGGTGGTGCTAGTAAGAACGACATACATTGCTTTCTTCTTCCAGAGTCCTTTCAAAAAGCGATTTCTGATGCAGTGAAATTCCACCATGGACCCCCTAAAAGGGAGAATGAATAGGGTTTGTTCTTGGCAATACCTTGTCTTTTGTTTCCCCTTCAGGAATCATTGGTGCAGCAGCCCTGGATTTTTTTAACATTGAGATTTCAATGAAAATAGTCAATCAAACAGAAGAAGAGGAAAGAACTGGGAAAAAAGAACATATTGTTTTTCTTGTCACTCAAAACCCTGTATTTCCATGCAAGGAAAGAAATGAAATTTCTTCCTCACCTCGATGTCTTGTTGACTCTGAAAAACAAAGTGAGAGCCAACTGAATAAAGAGGTATTTTAATGTTCATTATCAATATATTGTTAAAATATATTTAAAATGAAAATTTAATTTCCCTTTGTATTTATTTCAACAGGACCTTGAAAAAGCCAAGAATACAGTGGGAGACAGAGGAAACTCTGTCTGTCCTGTTAAGAAAAGTCACTGGAAAACATTAAGAGGAATAATTGCATTAGGAAAAGGTGAGAAATTGTTCAGAGGGAACTTGTCATCATTTCTGAGTCTCTTCAGTAAGAAAGTCAGTAAGCCTCCCTATCCCCACCCACCCATCCACTTGGAAGTTACCATTTATATTTCCTCTGTGAATTTTCAAAATGTTTCTGGTTAAGTTTCTTTCTGTTAGACATTGATAATCACAGGAAAATTGAAGATAATAAGCATGCTTAGTAATGACAGATACTTAAATGGAATATGACTGTCACTCTTGTCTCTTAAACAGGGCTTTCATCTAAAAAGTATTCTTCTATAAAATGTCATTGTGTGGTGCATTTGATTCTTCCTTTTCATGTCACTTGATTTAAAGATGATGAATTTAAAAACATGTTTTTAATGTGGTAGATGCTACTCCTTTCCAAAATTATCAACTGTAGTAAATTCTGAAAGCCAAATTACTTCCTCCTACCAAAAATCTACTGCTAATCTGGTAATCTCTGTTCATACCTTTATATACTAGAAGTTTATATATATTCATAAAGGGAAAGGATTTTTTCAGTTTGGATCTTCTGATTCCCCAGAAGGAGTGAGAATCCAGCTCAGTATTGCCAAGCTGTCTAGATTCCGGGAGGAGTGAAAAATGGTATCATCTGGTGCAGTGTCACATGCATTACAAGGGCAGATATATTGAGTAAGAAATTAATATATATTTAAAATAAAATTTTAGAATAGCATTATTACTAAAAAAAAAAAAAAATCCTTTAACTATGTATGTGAGAGTTATCAAGAGGCAGACTTTGATAAATGAAAAACTCACATTGACTTCCCCAAAGCAGTAAGACGTCTAAAAGCTGGGTTCTAAATTTATAATATTTTGCACCAGTCTCCTGAATGACTTGAGAATTATTTTCAGCAGAATTTACTAGAGTAACTGTCATAGCCACCTTCTGGGGGAAAGAGAGCACTTGAAATAATCATCCTGTTGATTTTTGTGGGTTACTGGAGAATCCAAGTTTATGCTGTGAAGTTCAAAGGTTTTGGTGCTTCATTCAAAAGATGAACCCATTTGATTATTTTACCCATTGTATTCCTTTTGCAAAAGTATCTACTAGTAAGCACAATCTACTCTGTAGATTTGTCACCATTTTGAAAAAAATCTCAGGGTAAGTAAAATAGAAACCAAACAGTGATTTTGTCTCTGTGCTATGGACTCGAGCTCATTGTATGGGAGACTAAAACCCAGATTATGCTGGTTTTTTTCTCTGTAAGTGTTCCTTAGTAGCTAGCAAAGTGTATTAAGTCCGTTTCCATGCACATTTTTGTGAGATATAGCTGTGTTATATTGCTATGGCATCTGCAAACTCATAAAGCAGCAACATCTACAGTTGTTCATCTATTCTTATTTTTTCCACATAATTTGATGCATCTAGTGCTCTGTGCTTTTTGTGTGGTTAAGTTTTAAACTCTTAGCCAGTTCAGATTAGTTGCTACTCAGATGTGGATTGAACTGCAGAGCATTTAGCACAGATGTGTGTGCATTTCTGGCCCCACACACTGCTCGCTTTGTCTTCACTCATTATGATACAGGGTCCTGTCTCACTGAGCTCTAAAAAGTAAAGCAGTGCAGCCTGATTAAAAAATACACATTTATCTTGTCACAGGTAAGCTCCTCAGAGGATTTGATCCTGTTTATCCCAAGAGCCTCTGGATTGACACAAAAACATTTTGCAATGGACTTCCTTTCCATATGGTTTTTGACAAAGAGGTAGGACAAGCATGTGATAAAGGCCTTTAGTGTGCATAAACCAAATAGTAATTTCCCTCTGTTCTGACTGTCCTAGAGCGCACTGCTGTGTGTGCTCTGCGTGCAGTGTACACTCATTTGTAGGATTTGCAGAAGAACACTGTACAGAGACATGCAATAAGCATAACAGCTGGATCTGGATCATTTCAGATAGGAATCTCCTTTGACTTTACTGAGTTTACCATCTCTGAAACAGCTACGGATATATCAACAAGGTTTATTGCAGCAGTCTGTCTGTTACCAAATACTGGGAAAACCCAGCTACCTACTAAGTCGAGCAGTGTGCAACTTCATTTAGAACCAAAAATCCCTTTACCTTCTAGGGGAGGATTGAGTCTCCTCTCCTGTGCACACATACTGTGCCACGCCTCGGCAGGGCTTCCTGTGGCGGGTTTCCAATTAGCCTGGGTTCCCACCAAGCTACAGTTCCTCTTGCTCCCAGCTCTGTGGAGAGAACATTTGCTTCAAACAGAAGCAAAGAGAGGAGAAGGTGAGGCTGGGACAGCAGAAGAAAATAGCCCCTCAGGGAACATGTTTTGGCATCATGCTGATAGAGATTCCAGAGCACATAATCTGCTTCCTGCCACTGCCCACATTAGACAAAATTCAGACTCTTAAACCTTTCAAGATGTCTGGTCTGCATAATTTAAATAAAATTACTAATGTGCAAAGATGGAAAGCCCTATACCTGTTATTGGTGGCTAGGTCAGAGCTTCAATAACTGCTGACGAGCAGTGCAGTACATTTCTGCAGAAATTAAGAGCTCATGTATGGTCAACAGGCTAAAAGAGAACAACTAAACATTTACACACCAATGGTTAAGAGAAAGTAGCCCATGGCATCCATTAGAAGATCAATATTTGCCAAGGTGTTTTGGTGTCTTGCTATAAAGGACGTTAATTGAGACCTTTGTAGTAATACACTAACAAGGTAGAAACTTTGCTCAGAAACAAGCCATGTGCTATAGCAAGGCTAAGTGTGTGTGCATGTATAAGCAGTGATCAGCTGTAGCTTGGTCTGAACCCAACAAGACATGAATTATAACACATGGTCCATATTTTCTTTTTAAGCTCAGAGTGAAGCAAGCTGGGGTGAGCATTCAAAAGATCGTACCTGGCGTTCAGACCATGGGCATCTCCTTGGATCAGTACTTCAGGATCGTTCACCCAGAAGTACCCTTCACCATCTCCAGCATTCAGAAATTCATCAACAGCCAATTTGTTTTCCAGACTAGAAGAGAGATGATGCCAGAGTCATGGAAGCAACGGCCAATGCTAGAGCTGAGAGGTATTTTGCTGTTGTCAATGCATAAGTGTTCATATTAAATCAGGAATTATGCTGAGTTGAACTGTTGTCTCTCTGTGTACTCCTGACCTCACATAAGTCCTATAAATAGCCTTTGGGCAGTGAGGAGATTAGATGATTCTGTTTAGAGAAACAGTAGATGCTTGTAGACAAATTCTGCTATTACCTCACCAGATTTTCAAGGGTTTCGGTCAGAAACAACAACTCTGCTCCCATTTGAAGGGCTTAGAAATATGGCGTTTTTCTAATGCTGCAAAACCCACATGTGAATACATGATTAGTTCTTAATTTATGCCTTTGAGGGGGGTTATTTGCTACTGGCTGGGTTTCAAATGTGGATAAAAATAGATTAGTTAGCTGTGCTTTTATTTTTTGTAGTCACATTTTCAGATTCCGATTTCTATCTTCACACACACCCCCAATGTCATGTAAGAGTTTAGCAGTTAAAATTATCTTAGCAAAAAAGGTAATGTATTTGCTTTATTTTTGCTGAGAGGACTGAGTATGGAATGATCCTTTGCTTTGTGTAATTAACTATAATGACGTTTGGTTTAAGTGTTCTGTGACCTCAATTTTGCTTCTCTGAACTATGTAATATGTCCTAATTTTCCCTTATCTCCTTTCACCTTTACATAACGAGTGTCAAATCTGGTATTCCTGAGAGTCAGAAAAAAAATTAAGAGTTTAGGGAGATCTTGAAAAAACTGATGCTACCAAAACAAGGAACTTTACTGGACACAATTGTACTTTCTCTTATGCTGCAGGGGGTTAATTCACATGGTATCTCTGATGTTTCAATCCTCTTAGTTTTCAAGCTGTTCATCCAGTTGCCCTGGGGATGAGGTGAGAGAGAAAGAAAGATATAGGAATTCCTAGATTGCTGTTCAGAAACCAGTGATACTTATGAAGAATAAATATACTTATAAAGAATAATAATAATAAAAATATTTCAAAATCAAAATCATAAATCTCAACAAAGAAACCCCTACAAAAACTCGATCCCCCACCAAAAATCCCTTCTATCTTTCAGGCGTTTTTGTAACTGCTTATTTAGGTTATGATAGTGACTGAAAGCTCCAGCTTCCAGGAAGGAAAGTGCCATTGACTTAACTGGGGCAAAAACTACCCACCATGAGATCAAATTTCAAATGTTTCACTTAGTCACTGTGAGTCTCAGTTCCCTTGTGTGTGATTCTGACTGACTGGCTTCAGCAACAGCTCAAGAACTGGGAGGAGAGGAGAGCAGAGCAGAGGGAGAGGAGAAATGTTGTGATCACTGGGGTTCCTCATGAAGAGGAGGGACCTGGAGCACGGTTGGACTCTGCCTAGCAGTTGCAATGAGGGAGTGACTGCTTCCTGGGTCCTGGCATTTTGTTACTTGCATAGCATAGCTCCTCTGAACAAGTCCACCTCTAATTCCAGGAAACAAGTTTCTGTGATGATCCAGACCCTACAAAACCCCACTGTCCTTAGAACTCATCCCTAAAATTAACACCAGTAATGCTGAGCGTCACGTGACAGTCCACGCTGCTGAAAGCTCTTACCATGGCTTGTCTCCACCAGGGCAGATGATGTGGATGGAGTCCCTGCAGTGCATGCTCTATCTCTGCTCGCCTTTGCTTCGCACTTTGCACGAGCTGGAGGAGCGACAGATGCACATTGCAGACATTGCACCTCACGACGTGACCAGGGATTTGATTCTTCTCAATCAGCAGCGGCTGGCAGAGATGGAGCTCTCTAACCAGCTGGAGAGGAAGAAGGAGGAACTGCGGATACTGTCAAAGCACCTGGAGGAGGAGAAGAAGAAGACTGAAGCTCTGCTCTATGCTATGCTTCCCCAGCACGTGGCCAACCAGCTGAAAGAGGGGAAGCGAGTTGAGGCAGGTGAATGAACAGGATGCATTTGTGGTGTGTAATTCATGGGTCAGGAGATGGTGACAGAGACACTGGCACAGCCCCTTTGCCACTGCTGTGGAGCACATTCTCTACTTGGTGACATTCATAGGTAGAAGGAGGACCACAGATCCTTAATCTTGCTGATAATGAAAAGATAGACTATTCTTTCAAAGAAAGCTTTGGAAACTATTTGCCAGATTTTTTTCCTTAGGAGGTGAAAGGTGATAGCAGCTGCCCATTCAGTGAACAAAATTCAGTGTTTCAACAGTAATCCAAGATTTTGTTTTCAACATGGATATACAGGGAAACGAGGGCTCAGAAATAAAAGGAATAAAGAAATTGGTCTTTCCTAGAAAATTCTCTAAGTTCCCCTATGCTATCTATAAACATAGAATCATAATGATTCCCATTGTTATTAAGGATAGCAAGAATATGCCTAAATTCCCTTTAGTAAGCACATACAGGGAGCTAGAGGTAAAGAGCTAAGTATGTCCTGTATGTGATATATTCAAATGCCTGGCTTGTTTGAGGTGTGTAATGATTCTTATATTTGATATACTCTTATATCAACATTTCTCCATCTCAGAACACTTGTATGAGTATTACAGCTGATAGGTCGTGTCTTAAAAGAATGACCTTTGCAAACAAGTCTCAAACAGATGATATGATTGTCCAGCCATTACAAGTACTTACCACAGGTCTTTCTGCTCACAGGAGAGTTCCAGGAGTGCACTATATTGTTCAGTGACGTTGTGACCTTCACCAACATCTGTGCCCAATGTGAGCCTATTCAGATAGTTCTCATGTTAAATTCAATGTACCTGCGATTTGACAGACTGACCACGGTGCATGACGTGTACAAGGTATGTACGGACTGATAAAGGCTGTAGAAATAGTCTGGGGAAAAAATTTTTGTTGTTTTGGTTTTTTTTGTTTTTAAATGCAATTAAGTCCTCTTCACCCTGGCATGGTTTTTTATAAACCATAAAATACTGCCTATTTGTAGTGGCCTCACAAACTAAAAACCAGAATGGCTGTTCTTTCATACATCTCTCTCTCCCACCTTTCTCAAATGCCTATCCAACATGACAGGATATCCTGGCTTATGGACTAATTTGAATAATTTTCTTAGTTCCTTTATTCCAACCTGTTGTAAATAGGTCACTATATCATCAAGTGTCTCCTTTGGTGGAGAAATATAAAATTATACACAATACCCAGATAATACCTAGACCCTTTTTTTTTTTTAATTTCATGGAGAACTTCAGCAGTGATATCGTTCTCCTGCTGACCCCAAAGAGCACCAACTAGATCTAGACTATAATACACCTGTGGTCTCCAAACCATGCTGGAAGGATCAGAGCCCTGGTTGACCTAAATTATCAGAGTTATTAGCATCTCCAGAATTACCCAGATTTGATGAGCTGAAGAGCAGGTCCTAAGTTTCTGTCTGTCCCAAGTACATTAAATATTTAGGAAGGCAGAAATAGTAAAGGGTGAAATCCAAATCTAATTCATTCCTTGTTCAGACAAGGCACGCAGGTCATCCCACCATAAATTGTACTGGGAAATCAGAGGCATTTCTGCCTCAGCAAGGAAATTGTATTCAATAATTGAAGCATCCAGGATATGGCCCACAGATTTGAGGATAAATTAGCATCGTATTCTGTCTAAATCATCCATCATGAGTAAATGATCTGTCACTATAATAATCTCCTTTTGATGCCTGTATATAACTCCTATTAATATTGAAGGAGGTTACCAGGGTACAGAGGGGGAAGACAAGATTACTATTACAGGGAATTGAGAAATGGAATAGTGAAATTGATTTAAGAAACTTGGCCCAAGCTTATAAACATCTGAAGTTATGAATAAATCTTCTTAAATTAAATCTCCTGTTACAGCTGAAAAATAATTAGGGTATCTATTTGCATTAGTAGCTTTTTACAGTTGTTTTTAATTTGTTACAGAAAATTACTGTGGGTTTGGCTATCTTATAGAAGGCATGGAGAGGAACACATTCTTTGAGACTGATGTAGTGAACAGTTTTAAGTCATTAGGTTAGTGAACAAACCCAAATATTAAATTATGTTTCCACTGTCCTATTGATGTTCTTTTTTAAGAAATCCAGTTAGTCTAATCTAAAAGTTCTCTCATTTACTGATGGTAAATGTGACAGTGAAGTCTCATAAGAGCAGTTTAGAAAATTTCCTTACCGTGTAACAGTCTTCTGCAGTGAATTTTAAACATTTGAGAATTCTCTGTTTCAAACAGGCCTGTCCTATTCCCAGCAAAAATTCTGATACAGAGACAAAATCTGAAGTGTTTCTCAGGTCCTTTATCATGCACTTCAAGGAGACTGGATGCCTGAAGGAGGATGAACACTTCAACATTTGTCTTGCAGGCTGCAGCTGTTGTTGGAAAACAGCTGGCTGTAAGGAAGGATGCTTCCAAACTGCTTAGCTCACACTGCATTCTCTGACATCCTGGAGTTTGGAGGTTCCTTAAGTTCATATGAACCCCTTAATCATCAGTGAATAGTCTCCCTTGCTTTATTGTGACTTTAAAAAAACAAATCTCTTTTAAATAAGAAATATGCTTTCAGCACTAAATGTGAATTAGAGCTAATTAATAGCATTAATCTATCAGATAACCTGGCTCAGGAGTCTGTGCCTGGGGATAGCCCTCTGCATATAGATCTGTCCTGGGTAAGAGGAAGGCAAACAGTCTGACACTTGCACAGCAACCCTTACTCCTTAGGGTCTCTCTCACTGATATCTAAAGTTGGTCAAGTAAACAGGGACACAGTGCAGTGAAATTTTTAGTGTGGAGTGAAGGAGAGGATCTCTGTCACAAGGAAACTCACCTGTGCTAAAGCTTTTCAGTGATTGAAACATCTTTTAGGAGAAGGGGGGAGTTGGTGCAGACTCTAGCAGCAAAACACTAACCTGAGCAAGATGTACATGGCATGCTCACGTGCTTGTCCCTCTCAATTAAAGGTGGAGACAATTGGAGATGCCTATATGGTGGTAGGTGGGGTCCCTGTGCCTGTTCCCACTCACGCTGAGCGAGTTGCTAATTTTGCCTTGGGGATGATAATTGCAGCTAAAGGAGTACAGAACCCAGTTTCTGGAAATCCTATCCAAGTAAGTCATTAATGCAATGATGCATGTGTGTCTGTCTGCTTTTTGGGTTGGGCTTCTAGTTAATGTATTGCAGCAGGACCTCAAAGAGCTGCTTCTGACTCCTCTGTGACTTTGAACGAGGCCCACACGGGTACATTTTCCATGAGGAGCCTCTCCGTGTGGAAATTTGATATCTTACTGGTGTCCAGTGTTGTCTTGAGATGAACTTTTAGGTGGCTGAATAGCATTAAGAAAGATGTTAAACCACAAGTGACGTTTTTGGGGGGTGTTTTATGTCTTTGTAAAGATTCGAGTTGGGATCCATACAGGTCCTGTCTTGGCTGGAGTTGTTGGAGAAAAGATGCCTCGTTATTGCTTGTTTGGAGACACAGTGAATATTGCTTCCCGGATGGAGAGCCACGGTGTGCCCAGTAAAATACATCTGAGCTCCAGTGCCTATCAGTGAGTAACTGTGATGGAAACTTTACCTGTTAAAATCGGTGCTAAAAACCATTGCTTTGACAGCTGCAGTGTAGATGGTACTGCCTTAGTCACCAATTTAAGCAGGTTATAAAGGAAAAGCAATGCTTGTAAAGAGTTTTATTTGTTCTGATTATTCCAATCGTACTTATATGCGGAGACAGAAATTTGAGAGTCTCCATCCTAGAGAGCAAAATATTAAAAAAAATAATTGTGATAACTTAGTTGGAAGTCCTTATAAAGCGATGTAGATGCTAGAAAAGCAGAACATTTAGAACATTTAATAATAAAAGCTTTAAAATCTCTCTAATTGAGCACAATAATTTGTAGAGAAACAGTTTTATTTACACTTACCAAGGATTAACTGCATAAACAACTATCCTCTTCATGCTGTGAGTAATTTACTTTCCTGAAACTCATGTTAGTAAAAATTAAATTTTCAAGAATTTTATGTATGTGTAAAATCTGTATGCAAGAGGGAGAAGCAAAGACAAAGGAAGGAGTACAACAACATTGTCTCAGGATATCACAGGAATAATATTGGGAAAGTGAGAGCTTAACTAGCATTGAAATGGGCAAGGAAAGTTCAAAGGCAGTCAGGGGAGCTTCTGCTGTGTTAGCAGAGAAGTGTAAATGGAAATGTGGACCTGCTGTGGCAGGTGATTTAGAGACAGTGCCCTGAAGAAAAGCTGAGTTACTCAAGGCCTGTCTTGCCTCAGTAGTCACTGATGAGGTCTTCAAGGTCCCTGCACCAAGAGTCAGGGTTCAAGGAGTAGGTGAAGTACCAATATTGGAAGAGGATCAGATCAGGGGTCTTTTGAGAAATCTCAGTCTTTGGAAAGGTATGGGAGCAGATGGGATGTGAGGTAATGAGAGAGCTGGGTGATGGCACTGCAGTGCTGCTGACTGTCACCTTTGGAAGGTCAAGACTGTCAGCTGAAGAAAGACAGATGTTACAGCTCTGTGGAAAAATGGCAAGGAGGACAGGGTGTGAAACTATAGCTGATCATGCTCGTGTCAGTCCCAGTGAAAATAAAGTCCTCTTCAATCCATTTTTGGACACATGAAGGATGCAATTGGGAGTAGCAAGTCTGTATGTAAAATGAAGTAAATCATGCTTGACAGACCTGATTGCCTTCTCTGATGAAACGACTGGAGATAATTCTGTCTAGCTGGTATTGGCTGCCTCAGTCCTTAATTTCTGGTCAATAAGAACCCTCCACCACTCTGAAGTATTTGGCTTTGTGATCCATTGATTTTTGATCAGGTCGTATATGTTAATATATAAAACCACAGCAGGCCTGAATAAACAGTTGAAACAAACCCTCAGTTGTTCACAAATCAAGACTGTTTTTTCCAAACTGTTGTGATTTCATTACTTAGCTCTTTTAAAATATCAATATTATTTTTGCTAAACTTGAATTTTCATGTGTCATTTTGTTTCTGATACTATAGGTGCCTAAAATACAAGAATTTCGAGATTACTGAGAGAGGAGAAATAGAAGTAAAAGGCAAAGGGAAAATGCATACATACTTCCTCATTAGAAATAAAACTGCAACTGAGAATGAGATTATGGGAAGGCCAATGAAAGACTTAGATTCTGGCCATGAATCTGTTCAATCTTTTCAAGAAGGCAGGACTGAAACAATACCAAGTTCTCATCAGCCAGGTAGGATCAACTTCACGTATCTTTTCCTCCTTGACCAAATGAATGTTAATACAACACAATTAAATGCCCTTTTCTGTTCTTCTTTCAGTTACTCAGACTCAGCCAGAGAAGGACCAGACCCCAACTATTGCAATGAAGTATGTTGATGGCCCCACAGATGCCCAAAACAGCCTCCAAAGAAGAAATCAAAGGAAAATTGCAGATTTAACAGGTAGTTATTTAGTTATCATTTCAGAGACAACAGAACTAGGAAGTAACTGAGGCTTAATCTTGCAGGTTCTTTATATTCCTTTTCTGAATAACCATTGTTGTAACTCAAGCCAGAAATTCATGTCAACATATACACGCTGGTGAAACTAAACCCTTCTGCACACTGTTTAGGGTCAAACAGATTTCACCTTTGGAGCAATCCCAGGTGTTAATTGTGCACTAGGGAGAAAGAAGCTGACAGTGCTGTAAAACCCCAGAGCCCTTCTGGCAGTGCAAATAGAACAGATACATGTTAGACAGCTCTTCACATGGGCAGACCCAATTGTTCATGTACATATCTTTTCCTAGAAAACATGTAGTTATGGGGAAGCTTATCGAGTCAAGCCTGAGAAAGAGTGACCTCAGTCCTCAGGCCAGTCTCCTGCAGGAGTTGCAAGGATTTATTCCCATGCTCATGTTCTGTGACCAAAGTTTATCTCCTTTGAAGTAGCTGATACTGAGAGATAACAGATTTGATGCCATAACAGCCTAATCTAATGCAGCAAGTCTTGTAGTCCTATTTATGTGTTTTGTGGATTTTATACAGACTAAATATGTTGTCACTAATTACTAGAAAATATTTTACTCCTTTCCCTCCCACCTGCTTAGGCACGGTAGTTAATCTAGTATATGATGTGCTGACAAACAGAAACCTCTATGGTCATTAAAAACTCACACTGCAGGAGTGTTTCCTTTCAGGCAAAACTTGTGATTCCAAAAGCGATGGGAGTCTCCATGGCAACCAGCATGCAGATGATGGTCCCCGTCCTCTAAACCAGGGAAGAGTCAAAGTTGCTGCTGAAGAGCCACAGAACAGAAATGTTCGCTCTAATTTTTGCACTTTACTCTAAGTTTTTTAGTTTTACATTAAACAGAAAAAATTATTATGATTTTCTGCATTTTGCTGTTGTGGGACTGTTTTTCTTATATCAAGCACCACGTGATTTTGTAAAAAAAAAAAAAAAAGAAAAAAAAGAACATTTCATCACAGTTTTCAGTAAAAATAAAACAGTGGAGGTTATTTTTTTTAAACAATCTACACGTGCTGTATAATACTCCCACTGGAGAAGGAAACCCTTGCAAGATGCTTTGAAGATGTATTTTTCAGCTTCTGCCATGTCTTTGAATATCCCCGTGTAAAAAGCACTTTTTGGTATCTGATGCAGCAATCGAGAAAGAGGTGACTCATCCAGCTAGAAATATTCCTACTCAAATGAGCACTTGCCATAAAGGAAACATTCCCTGAAGTGACCATCTGGCTTGACTTCAGCACAGCCAACAACTTCCCCGTGGAAGGTTAGCAGAGTTTGATCTGCGTTTTAACTGTGATAACAGCTTAATCTCTTAACAGGTCTTTTGCTGGGCAAAGGAATTATGCAGCAGAAGTGCAGAATAGATCTAATACAACCTGTATTTTTGCATCCTGAAAGGAAAATAGCATGTACTTGATAGCACTCAACAGTAAAAAAAGCATCTGTGACCTTTGAACCAGCCGTCCATGTGTAGGTGGGCGCAGAAGGACGTGTAAATGGTGGAGTTATGTAGCATCAAATTTGTCACAACACTGGAGGACTGCTCAAGGCCTATGCACTATTTGAGACCTTCAGATGAGTTTCCAGTTTATTACTCATTTTGTCAATCCAGCTAAACAAAAATAAAGTTTCAAGACTGCAGAGGGAGCCTGTCAGTGCTGGAACTAATGTTGCTAACGTCATTGAGAACAACAGCATTAAAGATCAACATCACTTACCTGGTGTCAGAGGCTGCTCAGCTGAATTACTTCCATGCTGATATATTCTTACATTATGCCTGATCAGAAATGGCAGAGAAAAATTGAAGTTCAGCTGTCAGGGGTTTCAGACACAGGAGCAAAAATACAATGGATATAACAGCTGTGGACAATTCAGTGCATCATAAATTGTGCTCTCACTCCTATAAAAGGAGCTTGGACTAGGTGGGCGACTTTGACAGGAGATGCATCCTGCACACTGAGTTATTACCTTTGGGCTTGGATTCATTGTCTAAGGGTGCCAGCATGAGACTAGTTTGGACTTTGAGCAAGAACTCACTGGAGAAGGTGGTAATGTTGCTCCTCTGTAACAGTCTGGAGCATCATATTTCCACCTCTGTGTCCACAGCAAGAGCGAGGCTCTTTAAACGCCAGATAGAGGTAAGACTGATGAAAGGCATCTCCTCCTCTTTATAGTATAACAAGATGAAATTTCACCTGGTTAGATTTTTTTTTTTTTTTCAAATCTCTGAGACAGTAGCTCCCTAGGCTGGGTGCTCTACAGCTCTGTCTGCAGGAGCAGACCACTAGAGGAGGATGCGTAGAGCGAAACCATCAGTACTGTTGTCCAAACTACAAGTATTTCAGAGGGTTTTCTGGTGTGGTCCCATGCACTGAATACCTGCTAGCTGTTGGAGCACCTTATAAGCACATCCTCTGACTTAGTTTCATCCAGAAAAGATCCATTTTTGTGCTGAGACCACTCTACAATGTGAAACAAAGTAAGGTAAGTGGGTTTGCCCAGGAAATTCGCTCAGGAGTGTAGTTCTGACTCTGACTGAAATGCTGTTGTAGGCACACCCTCCAACAGGAGCACTTCCCACCGTACAGCTGAGCAGCACTGTTCAGGGAGAATGCAGTTTTATGAATGGCAAGCTTTTTTATTTATTTGGATTTTGCTATCTGGGCATTGTTCATTCTTTGGCAAGGGAGAGATCTACTGTAGGGTGATGCTGCATCTAAGGATTATAATTGTTAAGTTGGGGATCAAGATTTCAAGCATTTGACTGTGTGCTACCCTCAGACACACAATGTCTGAATTTCACCTTCATCCTCAGTAAGTCCTTCCCCCTGTTCATGGATTTGTGCTCTTGTATTACAACTGTAGCTTTAAAAAGACCTTCCTAAAGAGATAATACCCAATTTCTCTCTCACAATGACACAAATGTGAAATAACAGTTAAATCAGCACTATCCCATTGATTGAAGTCTAGAACAATCTCTGATGAGAGTCTTTTGTCTCCAGCCTAGAGACATGTTTCACTACTCTTGACTAGTTGTGCCAGTGGAGTGGAGAACATGTCATTTAACAAATGGCAGTGGTGGACTCCATCATTATTGGCATTCACTGTGGAGATATAAAGCTACTTTAGTCCCAAGCACAAGTGTGACACAGGAGTTTACATCTCTCAGTGTCCAGTGCTAGTCCAGGAGGGAACATCCTGCTGTCTCAGCTGCTCTTGCAGTCCCACACCTGCATGGCTGAATGCCACTGACCACCTCTCTGAGAAAAGGAATTTCTGGTCAGAAATTGCCCAACAAATCTGACCATCAGTGAGTAGGGTTTAGTATATATTCTGGGGTTTAATATAGATATATTAAACTACAGAGTAGTTTTAGGTAGAAGCTCAGAGCTCCTCTGAACTTGTATGGATCCTCCTGGGAAGAAGAAAGAAAAGGACCATGGTGTAATTGCTGCCAGCATCTCTCTGTCTTTTAACACTTGCTTTGCTTACACCTGCCCTTTTTGCACTGAACCATCTATGGTTCATGTTGGAATCTTTTAATTGCCATTGAGTGCTCCATGGTAAGTTACTTCATGCTGTACTGTGGTAAAAATGATGTGCTAAGTGATTTCTTTGTGGCCTCTGCTACAATCTGGTTCTCCTGGAGATATAGAGCTAGGTCAAATCTGCACAACTGCTTCTGAAAATTAATGTGCCTGTGTATCATCATGTGTTCTTAAATCTGTGGGCACTGCTAAAGACTGCAAAAATATAATTAAAAAATAAATCCATTAATATACCAACTGCTATTTGTCAATGACTGCTTTGATTCCTGTCCCTCTTTTCCTTTCCATCTTTTCTGTTCTTTTTTCCCCTTTAAGTATACAAAAAGTTTAAGACCATTATACCTCTAATAAATGTCCAATGAGTCTAATTTCTTGACCATACACAAAGTTGTATCTGTTTGTGCAACATCAGCACCCCACTACCTCTGACATTGTCACATGCTTACTAGTGTGCATTCTTAGTGTCAGTCACCTACAGTGAACTGACGTAAAAAGTGTGGGAGAAGACAATTCCCAGTATTGCTTCATGGAAGCTGAGGCTCAGAAAAATTAAGAGTTGAAACTTCTGAAAGTTGTCTAAAGCGTATGGGTTCTAAAATCACATTAAATCTGGTGTTCAAACATTATTTGTCAGAAACTTGGGTACCTAAAGATCCAGGGGCCAGATTCTCAAAGACTGTTTGTAACTTTGCTAAGTGAAATCAACTGGATTTAGGTGCCTAACTGAACACATATGCTGTATCTGGTTCCTGACAATGATGTTTTCTTTAAAACATTTAGAAAACACTGCCCTGTAATGCCTTCTAAAATGGGTTGTTCAGTAAACTTTCCAAACTGGAACCTCGTTTACTGGAAGTCATTAATTCGTTACATCTGATATTACAATGCAACTCTCTATGGACCCAAGCTGAACATAAAAATACACAAATAAAATAGCAGTGAAATTGAAATTACTACTTCAGTGGTGAGAATATATTAAAAGTGTACTTGAATATACAAAACATGATGAACTTCAAAATGAAAAAAAGGAGCACAGATTTTTATACAAATATACAACTTCATGGAAAATCTAGAAGGGATTTTTTTTCCACCAGGTCTCTGGTTTCACTTTAGGAAACAGAAGAGTTTAAGATCAGACAATGAGATGAAAATCTTCCATAAAGTTATCAGTACAAACATCTACTCTTCATACGTCCTCTGTGCAAAATTCAATCATCAGTTCCCTCTGTACATAAAGAAATAGCAATGTGCAGTATTTTGATTCCATAAATACTTGTAATCAAAACAAAATGGGACACTATCTTTACTCATATGACTAAAACTAACAAGCACTGTTCATTTTTTACAAGCTATCTCTAGTTCTCTCTCACATATATTTTGCACCTGTTTGCTGAATTTCTGCTAGTGATTTTTGATCTGAGCTGTGCTGAGAAGGCATTCCTGAAAAATTCTGATACTCACAATTCTTCCTATTTTGGCTTGGTGTACAGCCTTTAGTCTCCATCTGGGTAAACACACCAAGCCAGAAAGAGATTTGTAGTCACATTTTCATACTGATAGGTACTTACACTCCCCTGTGCTCCCTTAGAAGTGAACCTCAAATGAACATGAACAGTCATTGCCAAGGTTTGCAGAAATTCAGGGTGACATTAACTGACTCTCTAATGCTTACTTATTAGTACTGTGAAGTTTGAAAGTTATACCTACAGAGAAAACCTCACAGGCTGCTTGGTAGCTCTTACTTTGTCATTTGCATCAAATACTTTCCTGTCCACGGAATCAGCAAACACAAGCAGCGACAAAGATTATGATTTTTGCGACAAACACATCAAAACCAGCTTCAACAGCCTGTTTACATCAGTCCTGAGGTAAGGGGTCCTTGAAATGTGTTGCTCAGAAGCACTGTGTGGAGGTACCTTTGCTCTGTGTGGCTTCATCACAGCATATGGGCTTCCAGCCGACTTTGCCACGGCTTCCATTTCCATGCTGAATGTCGGGCCGTGACCCGAAACACAGGCTGGGTGATGCTCTGTGGGCGTCCTGCCAAAGCGTTTTGCAATAGAGGAACCTGACACACAGCTGTCATTTAAGGCCCGTTTATCTCAGGGAATCAATAGCCCTTTAAAAATTCACTGGCTCACATATCGTTTTCAGCGATGGTCATCAGAGGTTTTGTGCTCTGATTTTCCTGGCTTTTGAGGGAACTTTGCTTTTCAGCACATGGTGTCATATCCATTGGTAAGAGGAAACTGACAGCCTTGACTTTACCCCTGGAGAAAAAAATGGAAAAGCATTATGAGGATTGCAAATGTACAAAACATACAAAGAAAGTTAAAAAAAAAACAACTCCAAGCAACCCAG